CAGCCCGCCGCCGCCGCTCGATAGTGTCGCGCATGGCCGCCGCCCGCCCCCGCCCGCCCCCGTCGCCTGGCCGGCCTGCGCGCGCTGCTGACACACATTCAGCCTCAGCACAGCTCCCCATCGCCAGCTGTCCGTCCGGAACTCCGGACCGTGTTGCAGCGCAGTAGCAGTCATTCTTCTAGCAGTCATTCCGTCCTCATGGCGCTACTAGTAGTACTAGTTACTGTCGAGGTTCCGACGACGTGGACTCCGCGACGCTCTCCTTCGACATAGCCACAGAAATAAAAACATCTTTTTCTTGAATATAATAGTTGTAGAAATTATTGCTTGATTGGTTTAGCACTAATTCTTGGGTTGGTTGACTGGTTTTAACCAAATGGTTTGATTACTGATTTACGGACGCTAGTCTACCCAATAATAAGCCAAAATATGGTTTAATACTATGTTATACTACTAAACTAAGAAATGATAAAATGTAGCACTAAGGTCCGAATAGTTAGGCGATTGGTATTAGAACACGCACTAACGATAGTTGCGATGCTGACAATGGCAAAAGTGCTGAGCTGTTCGGTCGCAAAATATTGTAACGTAGAGGTAGGTACAAGATGAGAAACAAATAGTGTAAAATACTCATTGAATCATCTTAATGTACTTATGAATGGTAGGTAAATGCTACAAAAATAAACAATCCTTACTCATTCCTTACTTAATATTATATTGTAATATTAGATATTATAAATGGAAAAGTGAGTTTGTTTGTTTGTTTGTTCTGCTTTCACGCCGTAACTACTAAACCGATTGCTTTGAAATTTTGCAGACGTAAAGTTAGAAGTCCAGATTAAATCATAGGGTACTTTTATCCCGGAAAAATGTGATATTCCCGAGGGAAAACAAAAATATTAGTATAGATGGCGCTGTGTGTATTCGTATAGATGGCACTGTATGCCATTTACAACAATTCAACTAATTACCTACTAATTGGAAATTTCACGCTTTAATCTATAGCGCTTATTCGGTGTACTTTTCGACTCATTTATTTGTTGTTTTATACCTATGTAAAAATACTTAAAAACACAATGTGTGTAGTAGTTACGCTACTTGGCGATAGATGGCGCTGAGTGTTTATAAAACGGGGTAGCATTGTGTTTTGTAAGTATTTTTCGCTTTTAAATTTTGGTTCCAACCATTTTACATTAAATTGCGTATTTTATAGAGTTGTTTATGGAGTTTGTACAGCGTGATAGTAGCTTTACTCCACAATCCTACTGTACAGGACTACCTAATCCTAAAGACTACAATACAAGGTAACGTTATCCTACACTATCCTAGATAATCTAACCCCTTATAATATCCTATCCTAGCTTTGCCTAGCGTATAATGCGTATAGGCTTGGTGCTCTGTGGTATACTGTGATACAGACCAGCACTTCTACGCACCTACTACTAGGCCCTTAACCTAAGGCACGTACTATCCTGGTACACTGTGGAATGCTGTGATACAGACCTACGCTTCGTACGCGCCTAATGCCCTAGCCCTACAGTCCCTGGAGAACCTAACGGGTAACCGGGGCTCCGACTCGACGTGCAGGAGAAGGAACGGGGTGGTTTTTAGTCAGTAAGAGTCTGACACTCCCTCCCGCCTCACCCAGGCGGGAGCAGTCATTGGATGATTTTCCCCCCTTAAAAAAAAGACCCTAGCCCTACTATACGTATTATATATAATTATATAGATAGGTGCTGGATATCTGCCACCTGAGACCTATGATGGCAGACGGAATGTGGGTAGGAATGGGGTATGGTGGTGAGGGTTAGCTCACTGCCTGTCGAGCAGACTCATACGACAGATCGGTCGATGGCTAAAGGTGTCTTGGCCACAGTGAGAGGAGGAGCTTCCTCGAGTGGTGGAGGAAGGGTAGTGAGTCAAAGTCGGAATCAACTAGTGACTGTTTTATTTCTTACTAGCTTTTACCCGCGGCTTCGCTCACGTCACAAAAGGATAAAAAGTAGTCTGTGCCATCTATACCAATAATTTCGTTTTCCCTCGAGAATATCAATTTTTTCCGGGATGAAAAGTACCCTATTATTTAATCCAGACTTCTAACTTTACGTGTGCAAAAATTCAAAGCAATCGGTTTAGTAGTTACGGCGTGAAAGCGGAACAAACAAACAAACAAACTCACTTTCCGATTTATAATATTATAGTAAGGATAGTAAGGATTAGTAAGGAGGTTAGAGTGTAGCCTTAGGGGCGCTATGACGCGAGGACTTAGAAAATTTTTCATCAAAAATTAGAATTCTTATAAGCGGCTGGTTTTTCATTTCTATCTTTTAGTATATCTAAAGATAAGGTGAATATTATCTGAGCATTTTTTATCTAGGGCTTCAGGTTCGCCTGAAAATGATCCCTAAAGGTCAGTTGGGGGAGTGTGTAAAAACAGTTTTTAGGCACCCCGACACATTTGGTTAGGTTAGGTTACAACTGTGACCCTCAGAAGGCGCGAGGCGAGCGAGCGTAGCGAGCGGTGCTGCGGCAGCGGCCGCCGAGTGCTAAAAAGCGGTTTCCGCCAACTGACCTTTAGAGCTCATTTATAGGCGAACCTGAAGTCCTAGACAAAAGGAGTCCAGATGATTTTCTCTCTATTATTAGGAATACTAATCGATGAAAATGAAAAACTAACCATTTATAAGAATTTTTTTAGGTTGTTAAAGGTACACAAAATCATAGTGGCAACAATACTCAACAATTAGCAAATATATTGTACGCTGTTGTTTCAACGCACGACAGATGGCATTAGGATCGAGTTAGATGGCGTTATGGTTTCGTTACCGGCGAAAGTATAGGTTCCGAGCTTCGGTGCACGCATCTAATACTAGTATCGATTTTTATTAGTTCGCTCTGTGGGTTTGATGATGATTAGTCAAGTGTTATTTTTCTAGGTAGATATTATTATCTAAACTAGTTTTTTTTTCGTCGTTTTAAGTCGCTTTGTTCATTGTTTACGTTGATTGATACAGTAGGTGTATATTAGTTAGGTTAGATTATTGAAGTGGTTTATTTCTAAGTAGATGTCTAAAGCAGTTAGGTTTTTGATAATAAAACGTATACCTAATATAGTTTACCACTCAGTTTTGGTTTAACATTGCAAATGAAACCCTTATAGGAAATAGAAGTCTTTTAAATTAAAATGGGAGGATGGTATTTGTGGTAATGCGAAAATAACTCCTTCTGTTGTTCTTTCACGCTAAACGGCTTAACGGATTTTGAAGAAATTTGGTATAAAGTAGTTTGAGTCCTGGAAAAGCAAGGCTTTACCGCGGCAGAACTTCTCATTCCCACGGAAAAATCTAAAAAGCGCGATATAACCGAATTCCACGCGAGCGAACAGCTATTTGTTTGTTTGCCTGTCTTAAACGGGAAAACGGAGGTACTTAACGTGATTTTTTAACTGAAGATAGTTGAAGGGATGGATAGTCACATAGGCTTCTTTTTATCTTTTTGTGACGCGAGCGAAGCCGCGGGTAAAAGCTAGTTGTAACATAAATAAGGTTACAGTTTTACAAACTGTACCTACGTTAGAGACAAAGTGAAAGGATAATCTTAAAATCGCATTCAAACTAAACATTTTTAAACTAATTTGTTGTTCCGGGTCTGGGAGTCACGTGTATGTGAACTTGTATGTTTGTAAACGCACCCACGACACAGGAGAAAATCCTAGTGTGGGGCAACGTTGAAAAAGAAATCGTTCTTTTCCACTTTATTCACACGCACTTTACCTAGGCGTAAGTTAGCGAACGTAGTTTTTTGCGTTCCATGCACACTTCACATAGCACTGGGCCATTGGCTGGCTCATCGATTGAGTCCGGCTACATCGGAATTAGCCCACGCCACACCACGCATAGCAGTAGCAGTATGGGCCAGTACTTACAGAGTACACAAAAGAATTCAAACATGCCATAAATCTGATGTCCCAGGTCGTGGTGGCCCGGAGGTTAAGAGGCCCGCTTCTCATGCATGAGGGTGCGGGTTCCAAACCTACCGATGGCAAGTACTAATGTAACTATTTCAGAGTCATATGTACTTTCTAAGATTATTTACATAGATACCACTCACAAACGGCGATGGAAAACATCGTGAGGAAACCTGGGCTTATAGGTAATTATTAATTTAAGTTTCAAATCGCCAACCCGCAATGAGCAAGCGTGGTGATTAATGCTCGAACCTTCTGCAAAACCTAGAAGAGGCTTTGCCCAGCTGTGGGCATTTGTAGGCTGTTGATGATGACGATGATGATAAATTTTATGTAGCCAAATACATATGTAGGTACACGTGGAACTGAGATGCATCTTATTTGATGTCAGCACATGTATACGTACACGTACACAAAGCACCGCTAATTGGTTCGAGGCGCTACACATCGACATTACTATCATTTACACAGTGAACATGTGTGGGTAATTTCATATTAATAGATATGTATAGAAACATTCGTTCTATCACACACATCTTGGTATTACATATCATTTTTGTGTCGGTATACGTAATATTTTAGTAAATAAGTTTAAATAAAAACGAGGGTAAAGATAAAAATACTCATAACAAACTTTGAATAAATCGAAATCAAAAATAATGAACGATCGAGCAATACAATACTTATATAAATATAGTGCATTCTCATTGTATTTTTATGTTACTGAATGATATACAATATTTCGATGATCTCACCTATGGCGCGCTTGGCGCAATGGTTATCGCCTCCAGTAGTCAAGTAAAGTGCCACCGGATCGATTCCAGCATTCACATGTTGTTTTAGTATTAATTAATCAAATATTTGAAATGTGAAATTAGAAACAATTAAATCTTTTCTTTTTTTCCTATCCTATTTTTCTAAATCTTATGTTAATTTTAATAGTAAATACTTTAGA